TCAAAGTCTTCCTAGAGCAGAGATATAATCAGCACAACCCACATCCTGTTGCCTCTGCCAGTGCAGAGCTCCTGGGTCTGAACAATCCTGGAAGGAGAAAGAGAGAAACTGAATGAAATGTTGAAAACGGGGGGCCAAATTCAGCTCTTAGTTGCACCAGTATCAATCCAGGATGATTCTCCAGAAACCAATGGCAGTACGAAAAAATCAGGTCTCAGTTACAGCGGTGTCCATCTGAAGACTCCCCTGAAGTCGATGTTAGGGCCAGTTTCTGATTTGCATGACCCTGTGTAATTTGGAGTGAGTCCCCTGGAATCAATGGAGTTAGGGTGGATTCAGATCTCGTGACCCTGGTGTAAATCCACAGTGACCACTGAGATTCAGCAAGCCACTGAATCACTCTGGACCTCAATTTTCCCTTTTGTAAAATGGGGATAAATAGCATTTCTCTGCCTCATGGGAGTTTCATGAGGATAAATACAGTAACGATATTGAGGTTCTCCAATACTGGGAGCAATGTGAATATTGAAGAGAGACGGATCTCAGCAGGGGGACACATATGTATAACCCACTAAACTTTGCTTACACAAGTACCCGCTATCATAAGCGCCAACTCCGTGGGTGCTCCGGGGCTCAAGCACCCACTGAAAAAAAAAGAGTGGGTGCTCAGCACCCACCAGCCACAGCTATTCAGTGGTGTGCCCATCAGCTGTTTGGCGGCTGGGGGAGGCACTTGTTGGAGGGTGGAGAGCAGCAAACAGCAGGCGGGCAGGGGCCTCTGGGGAGGGGTTGGAGTGGGGCAGGAAGAGGCAGGGTGAGGGCGGGGCCTCACAGGAGGGGTGGGGTGGGAAGAGGCAACAAGGGCACACTGTTGACTCATATCCAGCTTCTCGTCCACTGTCACCCCTAGGTCCTTTTCTGCAGAAAAGGCCACCAGCAACTGTACTGAAGACGCAAGCCACCAGCAATTGTACTGATTACATTGAAGGGAGGAACTCTACCTGAGAGAGTAACACTAGGGTTTCAGATATTGAGAACCAAGCCATATAGATCTCTCCCTCCCTCAAGGTGTTATAAGTAAGGCTACGTTTTAGTCACGGGTATTTTTAGTAAAAGGCAGGGACAGGTCACAGGCAGTAAACAAAAATTCACAGCCCAAGACCTGGCCATGACTTTTACTATATACCCCTGACTAAAACTTGGACGATGGGGCTGCAGGTGCGGTCCAGGGGCACTGTGTGTGCTCTGGGGGTGGTGGTGGTGGGGCTCGCAGGCTCCCTTCCTGGCTTCGTGTCCCTTCAGCTCCTAGGGGGAGGGCCAGCCAGGGGGGCTTCGTGCGCTGCTCCCGCCACAACTGCCGGCTCCGCAGGCACAGCTTCCATTGGCCGGGAACCGTAGCCAATGGGAGCTGTGGAGGCGGTGTCTGCAGACGCGGGCAGCCCCTGAGCCAACACCGGCCGACAATCATTTTGCGCCCTTTTTCCGGGGTCCCGTCCACCAGACCCGCTCAGCCCGCTGCCAGTCTGGATGATCGGAACCCCAGGCAGGCAGTGGGCTGAGCAGGGCCAGCGGACGGAGCCCCAGACCGGCAGCAGGCTGAGCGGCTCTGCCCGCTGCCGGTCTGGGGCTCCATCTGCCAGCTCCTGCCAGCCGGGGTCCCGCTCAGCCCCGCTCAGCTGGCAGACTTCGGTGAGGTCGATCAGGGGTGCCTGGACAGACATGGCTATCCTTCTCTTAGAGCACCAAATGGGAGTGACTCCAGGTCATTCTCTTCTTTAAGTTTCTTCTCACGGAGATTCAGTCCTGCCTGGAATATCATGCGGGCTGGAGGCTTCTACCTCAGGCTGCTCTCCCAGCCGGCAGCACCACGCGGTCGCACCTATCCCAGCCTGCCCCTTGCTCCCATGGCTCATGAAGCCTGGACAGTAGTAAGGAGCAGTTCAACTTGTGGAATGACAAATCCAGAACGAAGGATTGCCCTCTATGGGCTACGTTAAGATTATTTCAGAGTCCTAGATAGCATTAGTCCCTATAAAAGGCTTCATGAAAATTTCCCCCCGCCCCTAACAAAAATGTTGATTTATCAGAGCAGCTGAAAGGGTAAGGAACCCGGGACTATAATTTAGAGAGAGCTTCCATATTATTTAACTCATAATTGATATAATTCAAAGTAAAATTTCACAGCGTGGTCTGTTCTAAGACTAAAAATGCAGGAGGGGAGTCAGAAAAAGGAACAGTGACGTGTTTCCATCCGGGGACATTTTGCATGTTAGGTGACCGTGATCACCACTACACTATGGAGCTTTCATGTGTTAGGTGACCGTGATAACCACTACACTACGGGGCTTTCACGTGTTAGGTGAACGTGATAACCACTACACTACGGGGCTTCCCTTTTTTTTGCCACAGACTTTGCCGAACGCACAGGAATGTTTTCTCTAGCTACAGAAGCTACCTAATGCAATGTCTATATCTATGGCCTTCTTGCTCACAAAGCGGCCATGCCCCCGCCCAAGGCTGACACAGCGCGGAGTGCATGTGACACAGCGACCTGCCTTGGGCAGGATCGCTAGCGAGGCATGGTACTTTTGCCGTTAAGCAAACACAGCAATTCTTTCCTGGCCTCTGCCACTGAATGCCTCCATGCATTACGCTGTGCCCTATCAGTGCGAGAGGACTGCATGAGCTCGGAAAACATGTCATCGCGAGTGCGTTTTTTTCACCTTCTAATCTGTGATAGCCTCAGGGAGGAGATGATAGGGGGAGCGTAGAAACATTCTGGGGGGACTGCATGGTCACCTGTGCTGCTGAGTGCTGCTGAGTTCGCCACACTGGCCAAACAGGAAATGAAATTCAAAAGTTCCCAGGGCTTTTCCTGTGTACCTGGCTCGTGCATCTGAGTTCAAAGTTCTGTCCAGAGCGGTCACGATGAAGCACTCTGGGATAGCTCCTGGAGGCCAATACCATCGAATTGCGTCCACACTACCCCAAATTCGACCCGGCGATGTCGATTTCAGCGCTGGTCCCCTCATCGGGGAGGAGTACAGAAATCGATTTTAAGACCCCTTTAAGTCGACAAAAATGGCTTCATCGTGCGGACGGGTGCAGGGTTAAATCAATCTAACGCTGCTAAATTTGACCTAAACTCGTAGTGTAGACCAGGGCTAAGAAGAGGAGGAGGCATTTGTACTTTCATAGGGAAAGATTAGACTACATAGCAGTAGAGAATGAAGAAGTAAGCCTAGAATATAAAGCTGTGGAGATCCCAATGCAGAGGAGTAGTATTTCTTTAAGGATTTATAATATCTATAACCCATGTTGGAAATTAAAAAGTTCAGAGCTACAAGAAATAGTGAAGAATGCTAAAAGACCGCGGCCAATGGGAGCTTCGGGGGAGGTACCCACAGGCAAGGGCAACACGCGGAGCCCTCTGCCCCCCTCCCTCAGGGGCCGCGGGAACGTGGTGCCGTCCACTTCCTGGAGTGGCGTGGGGCCAGGACAGGCAGGCAGGGAGCCTGCCCTGGCCCTGCTGTGTGCCACTGCCACCCCGGAGCCACTCCAGGTAAGCGGCGCCGGGCCGACGCCCGCACCCCAAACCCCTCCTGCACCCTGCATCCCAACTCCCTGCCCCGGGCCCTCTGTCGCACCCCAACCCCCTGCCCTGAGCCCCCTCCCACACTCCACACCCCTCCCTGCACCACTGCCCTGAGCCCCCTCCCGCACTGTGCACCCCCTCCTGAACCCCAACCCCCTTCCCTGAGCCCCCTCGTACACCCCGCACCCCTCCTCTGCCCCAACCCCTTGCCCTGAGCCCCTTCCTGCACACCGCACCCCCTCCCACGCCCCGCACTCCCTCCCACACCCCAACCCCCTGCCCCAGCCCTACATTCATGGCCCTGCATGCAATTTCCCCACCCAGATGTGGCCCTCGGGCCAAAAAGTTTGCCCACCCCGATGTACAATATTAAAAATGGAACCCCAAAGGGAAGTGTTATCAGCTCATTTAATATTATGATACTGTAAACGATCTCCCAAAACAAATAAGTGCTGGGGCAGGCGTCATTCTATTCACAGATGATTGTGCTCTTGCGTGAGGAGCAGGAATACTGAGGTGGCAGAAGAGAGAACCAACGTTTTAGGAGAGACCTCTGACTGGGGAAATACGTGGGGCTTCGCGTTCTCCATTGCTAAAACCAAAGAACTGGTCTTTACAGGAAGAAAAGTCGCAAAGGAATGTAAACTGTATCTGTATATAGAACAAACAGATATAGTTACAAGGTTCAAATTCTTAGTGTTAATATTTGATACTAAATTACTTTAGAAAGGTCATAAAACCCTTGTTAAAGACCAATGTGCAGGAAGGATTAACCTGCTTAAAAGACTTGCTGGAGCGCAGATAAGACAACACGGCTGGTGGCCTACAGGGCTTTAATCAGACCAGTTACTGACTAGGCTGCCAAACTTTTGGGTCAGCGTCAAAATCAGAACTTAAAAAATGAGATGTATTACAAGCCCAGGCACTATGAATTGCGAGCAGTGCATTTACTACAACCCCTGTGCGCACTACAGATCGCGTCCAGTGAAATGCCAGCTACGCTACAAATGAAACGACTGGCCCTAACTTTCTGGGCCAAAGTTAATGGGAACTGCAATGATGAAAGTACCAAGCAAAATATGAGGCTTGTTGGGAATCCGATAGGTGAACTATATAGCACTGTGGTGGGGCGGTTGCCCCACACAGGGAGAAGAAGGGGTTAAAAGCAGCACCAGGGAGGCTGCGCAGAACCCACTCATCAGGAAAGGGCTTATTGAGCCCACCAATAGGGGGAAGGCTTGCTGGAGCAGCCAATCAGGGCCGGCGAGGGCCATATATAAAGGACTGTTCAGCAGAGCAGAGGGCAATCTCTTCCTGGAAGGCAAAGGTGGAGGACCGGGTGCCTGAAGAAGTGCCATAGCTAGAGCAGGGGAAGCAGTGTGCGAGGGTGAGCTGCCGGCTGACCACTGCCAGGCTGGGGCCTTGCTCCCAGGATGGAGAGGGTGCTAGGGCTACGGTGGAAGAGGCCCAGGGAAAAGAGGCAGTAGATTGGAGAGGGCAGTAGATGGCTGCTGGCTATAGGGTCCCAGGGTCGGGACCCAGAGTAGCGGGCAGGCCTGGGTTCCCCCCCCCCTTTGCACCCCACTTGCCAATGAGGAGAGTGGCCGGTATCCAGACTGCAGTTTGCCCCTGAGGCGAGGGACTGAACCTTAGACTGCAGCTGGGCATTGAGGCAAGTGGCGGGACTAAGGACTGATGGTCCCACAGAAGAAGGGAGATACTGGGGTGGGGGCACAGCTGGAGGACCGTGCCTAGAAGAGGACACTGCAGTTCGGGGAGCGACACGGGTCCAAAGAGTGGAGACAGCAGTGATGGCAGGCGTGACACCACTAGCCGAAAGCAGACTGGAAGGGCTGAGAGCTCATTCCCAGGATGGCCAGCAGGAGGCACCACGGTGGTGAATCGTGCCCCCTTACAAACACACAATGTTAGAACTCCAGATGCAGGAGTTGAAAGACAAGGAAAACCTGAATGAAGTAAAAACTTTTAGTCATGGGGAAATTAGTTAGGGATGGAAAGTCGCATGCCCAAATGTGGATTTAGATTTATTTTATAAATTTGAGGCTAAAAGAGAGAGTAGGTATTGAAAATGAAGTGTACCAGTCTATAGATGAGGAGTGGAGTCAGTTTTGTCAAATATATCGTAACCGTTCTGCCAGGTGAAGCCAGCAGCAACCAGGGCCAGGTTCAATATCTAAGGGTTCTTTTCCATCGATACAATATAGAACTGACTCAAGCTCCCACCCAGTCACCTGGGAAAATTACACACCACCCCTGGGTGTCTCTGAGAGGCAATACTTCCCCTCTCACAAGCACAGAGTCTGAGTGTAGAAAATAAACTTTTAATAAAAGGAGGGGAGTGACTTGGCGTTAATTTGGGAAGACACTGCAAACAGGGTTCATGAACATAAACCATGAGTAAAAGACCCATCCCCAAATAAGTTGGGCAGTGCCCTTTCCCCCTCAGGTTCTTAAGTCCAGCAACCCAAAAGTCTCTTTAACGTGCCCGTCCCTTCTCTGCACCCCACTCACAGTTGCTGTACTTGGTCAGTGCAGATCTAGAGTTCAGAAGTGCATCTGTAGAGTTCACCTCCCACCCTGGGTGGAGGGGGGGATAAGGAGGAATCTTACTCGCTCCACTGCTCGGACACTCGCTCGCCACCCCTCTCTCTAGGGCCCTGCTGGCCGCTCGCTGCATCTCTCTGTGCCCTGCTGGCCACTCACTGTGCCACCTGGCCACCCTGCCAGCCGCTGCTCCTCGCACCTGGCTGCCCTGCCAGCCCTGGTTCCTCTCCACTGGCCATCCCACCGGCCATGGTTCCTTGCTGCCTCACCAGCCAATTGTCAGTCACCTTCTGCTGCCACCAGCCTCTCTGCTGTGATCTCTGCACATGAGTCTTAGTAATTTTTAACTCTTTGCAGGCTGGGCAGAAACACTGCCCCATCTCAAGTGATTTCAGCTCTAGTGATTTTTAGCTCTTAGGAGGCTGGGCAGAAACACAATCCTACCACAACTGATTTCAGCTCTGATTGAGCATTTAAAATAACAGAGAGGCTCCTAATAAATCCTGTTTAGCTCTTTCTTTGAAGAGTGGAGGGAAACAAGTTAAACCAGTCCAGGAAGAA